AAATGCACCTGATTAAACACATAAGATGTAAGAAAGGGCTTTTTTTTTTGTCCTTTTTGAGTACGAGAGTCGTGAACCAACAGAAAATGCAATCAGTTAATCAAAGCTTGGAGATTAGAAGAATCCCAGCTGTCCTAATTTGCATGAGTTGAGTTTTTCCTTTCTTTCTTTTTACCAAACAAAATCTCGAAAAAGAGCCTGAGCTCTATCTAAACCACTCCATTAAATCACAAATAATGTTTTTATTGTGGACGAGACACCTTAGAGAAAGCAGTAGTTTTGATGTCATGCTGGCTCTCTGGAAGCTGTTGGAGATGGATGCCCAAAGGAAATAAGCAATTCTTAAAATGTGTTAGTGTCACTCTGTCATTGTTTTGCTGCATCTAGGTGTCTTACTGTACTGTTACTGTAAATACAAAAATGTTTAGTGCCATCTATGGGTGAAAACATGTATGTTCCTTCTTAACGTATTTAATTTTGGACATGCAGTGAAGATAATATATTTTATATGAGGAGTTGGGTGCTCTTGTGAAAGCTAAATTGCATAAAATAAAGCAAAGATCTGCAACATGATGATGAAATTATTTTTAGCAGTGATGGAAATATATTCAGAGCCTAACAATAGATTCCACCCCCTGTGTATCTTGAACATGACAGAAAGTTATTTGTGCTTTATGTTAATAGACAGCAGGCAAAGAGATACAAGGTACTAAAATAAGTAAGATGCCAGAAGGATGATGAAAGACACAATGAGACAGACATCACAAAGCAAAGATGCAAGAGAGGGAAAAAAAGAGAGCTGAAAATAGTTTACAAAGAGAACAAAAGCAGATATTTTAATTCTAAGCTTCATTTTTGTGGCTCTAGGATTGCAGGGTAGAAAGGCACTGATTGAATCTTTGAAGAAAAGAAAAGCACAATAAATTCAGATGATGTCATTCTGAAACTACAAAAACTTGACCGAGGTGAAGCAAAGGAGGGTTTTCGGTGGGAGGATGAAACAAGATTTTCTAGTCTTGTTTCTCAGTCTAAAGTTGGTGTACACAAAATTCAAAGCTTAACTTTGCGCTGGGTTTAGACTGAGCTTGTGCCAAATTATTTCAAGAAGAAACCAGATCTATAGAGACTAAAGTCGTTCAACATTGTTAAGTTAGTTATGAATATTTGAATAAAAGAAGAACATTCGCTACATTGATGGCTCTAGCATTAGTTGAGCAAATTCCTATTCCAGGTTTGATCACTCTGGCTGTTAGCATACTAACGTATATTAAAGTTTCAAACACATCAGAAACCAGAAATGTACACTGTGTAAAATCCAACATTTTCCTCACAGTCTGGCAATGTATCACAAAGATACTTTTCCTCTTTTAAGAATTCTTCACCTATTTACAAGCTTCTCACAAAAGCTTGATGGGATCTTCATCCATTCCTTGTAGAAGAACTGATGAGATGGAGGCTGCCTTTTCTCCCACACGTCTTTTCAGCTCTGCCCACAAACTTTGTGATGGCCGCTCTAAAACACTGGCTTTGTTGTACCTCAATAAATTTGAATTAGGCAGTCTGCCTTAAGTTATTCTGCACTGCTAGGACTCATGTACAACATGATATTGCCTCACCGCAACCTGACAGTTGGGATTATGTTTTTAAGCTTGGCAGATTCTCAACCAAACGCAATAGTGCTTGTTAAGGCCAAACACTGGGTTTGGCTTGTATAATCGTATAATATTAACATTTTCTCTATTTTTGCTTATTAACAGTAGATAGCTGGGGTATTACAGTGTATTACATTTGTAATACAATGGAACACTTAACACTACGAATTACAGTGGTTACTGTATTTATTCAATGTTTTAACATGACCCTCCCCTTAATCCACAGAGGCAATTTGGACCCCGCTTACATTTGAGGTTCCAATATTTGTACAACAGCGAGTAAACCACAGGGATACACAAAACCACCTTAAGCTGCCATGTCAACTGGCCCTGCAGGACCACATTACACACATTACAGACGCACGCACTCATTGTCAGGCATGTGCACTGATGCAAGCATTGACAATCTGCAAGACATTTTTTTCTGAGTGGAAATGACAGAAAAAAAAAAAACACAGAGCCACACACTAGTCTACAGCAGGTGGGAGGTAAGAGGTCAAAATATAAGGGGAAAATGAGAGCCAGGCAGAAATTTTCAACAATAATGCCACGGTGTTGGGTTAATTTCTGTCTGACAGTCTAATATGTCTCTGGGAAAATCCCAACACTGTACAGAGTGAAGAGCAACGTTCCTTCTTATTCATCAGACAAACTCAGGCAAACCTTAACTCTATCAGCAATATTCTATAATTATAAATGTATGCATTTTGTAAAATATTTTAGAACTAGTTCACGGAACAGTTTAGGAAGAAATCTCCAAATAACCCGTCATACAAGACAGATCAACCATAGAGCTATTTTTTAATTATACTTGGAAGCAGAAAAAACAATATAACAACAAAAAACCGTGTTACCGCTGCACAGTTTTCAAAAATATTATCTCTAAATGTACAAACGACATTCCACTCCAGTATCTGCAGAACTCCAAGACGACCAAAATCATTGTACAGCAATTAGATGATCACCAAAACCAAACAGCAACAAGAAAGTCAAGATGCATGACAGCAGTAAAAAAATAACAAAAATGAATTATGTTAGAAAATTAATATCAACCCATTTTCTTTTCTTTGTTAACTCACTGTGCCCCACTGTAACTTCCTCATCTCTTGCTATGTTCCCTCAATGTTTTGTACATAATGTTCTGCTTTTTCTTACTGCCATCTCCTTTTTGAAGTGCACCAGTCCCTCCTGGAGCAAGATCCACCTCAACATGACACTACCATCCTTGTAGATCCCAGGTCGATCAATTTCTCTAGCATTCTCCCTTTTACCACAAATTTCATGTTTAGTTCCAGCAGATCACAGGAGATGTCCCCAAACAAATTAAGGTATTTGTCTTGTGTAAATTTGCAAACTGACTTTTTATATTGCTCTTGAAGTGATTGAATCTTAATTTTAGCCACTCAAGAGTATTGGTACTCTCTTCACAAAGAGTTTCGCTTTCACCATCATCAGTGGGAATCAGAATAAGCTTCTTTCCTGAAGAGTGTGATGGCTGGGAATTCCCTCTATGTTCATACTTGAGTGTAATTTGCTTAACCAGATTAACATGGCAGCTTCAGGGATCTGGAATTGTATTCAAGAGTCAGACAGACTTGTGGAGGTTTACAATTCTCCCCTCAATATCTTGACCAATATATATATTTTTTTTTTTCCAGTGATGTCACTCAGGGAATCACTGTGTTTAATGAGTTGCATAAAATACACCCACAGGTTTGCAGGACTCAAATGGAAACAAATTGTTGACATTTAAGCCATCAAATGCCTCCAAAGCTATGACATAATCATCTGGGCTTTCCTGATTTATTTAAAGGTTCAGTATTATTAGTGTTTTTAAAGCTCTGAAGAAAGTAATGAATGTTTTTTTTTTGTTTTTTTTTTTCCCAAAACTTCCATTTGGCAAATAGAAATTGCTTTGGTAATTCTAAATTAGGTAAAACATAAAATGTTTAGTTTAATTTAATGTCAAAGAGAAATGAACAAAAAAAAAATCATATGATGAGAAAAAAAAATAGATAAATTAATAATTTGTTCCTCTAGTATCACTTTTTTTCTGTGACTGTAGTAAATGTCACTCTTTTCAGTGCAAATTGACCAATTTAGATGATGACCAAATAAAATGTGCTAAGAACATGAACCTCATGTTAAGCTCTGCAGCATGTGTTGCCATCCACACTCCCCCCACACAGACTGTGCGGATTCAATCAAGGTTTCACAGGGACATTCATGTCACCACGGCATACAAATGCAAATGCACGACACATGAGTCGAGGCACTCTGGTTGTGTGGTTCAACATCACAGCAAAACTGCTCTGTGAGGTACTTTGATGGAGCCAGATCAAAGGAGAGTGGAGAAGAGGTATTCAGAACCTCCAACAATAGCCCTCTGAACAGCACGCCTGTAACTGGCTTATAAAATCACAAGAGCGCACAAAGATGAGGTTTTAGGATACAAATGCCTGTAAGTGAGCTGTATAAAAGGACTGTGGATTTATAGAAGCGACTAAACATATTGAAATATCAAAAGATGCTCTAGTTCCCATGTTGCATGTCTACTCAGGCGATGTGATGTTAGTCTTCCGACTAAACCTTTTTGCAACTCGCAATAAGCAGACATAGCTGTCTTTATCTTATTAGCAATATTATGTGATGAGTGATTCATGATATCATATCTATGCTGGAATCGGATGCCAAGCGTCTTTCCGTTCTCCAGTGGAGCATTTTCTTCTAAGATATTCCTGCAAATTCCTCTTTTTAGCTCCCATATCTTGAATTACTCTTAACACAAATCAGCAGTTTACAGTCTCTGTACTTTTGTTAGTTTTGTAAATAAAACTTTTAAAAATGAATCTGTGATGTCCTTGCATCGTTTCCCCCCCACTTCCTTCATGTCATTTTTTTCTTCCTCAACACTTTCCTTACCCTTTCTCATATTTGTCCCACTCTCTGAACCTCTCTAGCATTGTGCTCCCGCTTCTCCCTGTCTCCATTTTTGTCCGCCACTCTTTGCACATCCCCACTCCTCCAGCCCTATAAGCTCCCCTCTGAGAGCATTACGCTGGCAGCTTTGCCCCACTTTATCTTATTTTCAACTGAAAAATACCCACTGTCCTTCCTTTAATGAAAGCCAAGCCTTCGCCGATTTAAAGCACAATAAATAATTTTCTTCTGTAAGAAAATTCTTCAGCGTTCACACTAAAGAATGTTAACAGCTGTCTTCCTTTGGAGAGGAGCGGAAAAGCAGGCGAGCTGCCTGACATATTTTTTTCCCATCTCCCTGGGCATCTATTTTTTAGCTCATTTTCATTCTCTGCTCTCTTGTGGTTTTTATGTCTTTTTTTTTTTTACCTTTAGCAGGCGCACAGATGGCAGGAAGGCTGCATGGCACAGTTTCCTGATGGTCCAGTTAAGTGGTCTTGGTGCGTCCAGCTGGTTCATGGTGTCCACTCTTCACGCTGCAGCCACTGGTGCCCGGTAGCTTTCCCCGGCACCAGGATTAGTTCTGCCCCACGAGGGGGGCAAAAATGGGAGAGGGTCTCCAACTCCAACTGCCGAATAATGTGCAAGTCCCAGGGCATGACCCTCGACAGGCAACCATCAGCCGCCACCGCCACCACCTTGAAGCCGCGACTCCTCCAAGCCAGTAAACCTCTCACTCCTCTCCTCCTCCTCCTGTCCTCCCCTGTTCTCCAGCTCCCACAGATCCAAGGAATCCAAAGCAAGTCAAACCTGGTGCACCAAGAGCGGCTAAATCCTCCTCTGCAAGAAGCCGGAGTGTGCTCAGCCCTGGCGCAAAAAGATCCCCAGAGCGTACAGCCTTCCTCCAAATGGCAAAGCAGAGCACAGCAATGCCCAGCAGAGATGCAAGCCTGTGGTGAGACAGAGATGCAGGTAGAGAAGGAGAAAGTGAGGAAGAGAAGGAGATGTGGAGAGAGGGGATGTGAGCAGTGCAGTAAAGCACGGAGGGGAGAGGAAGAAGGATCGTAGCGCAGAGCGCATAAGCAGAGAGGAGACTTAGATTTGAGACTGCATTCACACTCCTGTCTCCAAGATGAAAACAGAGAGAATGGAAAAGAGATTGAGAGAGAGAGAGGGTGAAGGAAAAATGAGATGGAATAATGATATCAAGCAAAACTGATGAACCAGCTGAAAATATGGAGAGAGGAGAGAATGATTGTTTCTGTACATGGGAAAAGGAGGAGTGATGGAGAGATACAGTGGTAGGAGGGCTGATGGAGAGAATGGGAAGAGAAGGAAGAGATGTGATGAGGCACCATGTGGAAATGGGTTGCAGCAGAGCCAAAGCTCTGTCTTAAAGAGTGCCTTCAGATGGAGGCTGAAGATGGAAGCACATGAAACAAGTTGGTGCGGCAGCAACAGAGAGGAGTGCGACCTACTTAGAAATCCACACGTGAGACATCATAATTATGCAGGAAATTCTCCAAAGTGGTTTAGAAACCTCTGACGGGACTGATGCTGCGACTGTCACTGTGGATAACATCTTCCTCGTTGCCCTCAAGCATCTCTCTTTCGCCTTCGCTCATTTGCTGAAATTTATTGCAGCAATTGACTCCTGCTTTCTGTCTGTGCACCAGTTGACACTTGTTTTTCTTGCTTATCAGCCTCTTTTGACGAAAGTGGGGTGAAAAAAAGCTGTTGTTTTCTTTTTTTTCCAGATGAAATAACCAGAAGAAAAAACAATTTCTCCAGCAGAATTTGTGTTTAAGCTGATAACATCTACTGTAAAAGACAAATAAATACAAAAAATGATGGTAATGGTAACTATTCCAGGCATCACCTGCCATAGTACGGGCTTTTACGCTCCCTAATTGTCTGTGTCTATAAGGAAATGACACATAGCAATCAGTAACAACTGTTTTTTTTATTTAATTGGCTGGAAATCAGAAAATCAAATCATGATGCATTAAACTAAGAGGTCCAAACATTTTCAATCATCATCCGATAGCCTTTTTTTTTTTAGTTTAGTGAAATCAGTTAAAGTGCATGATTGGAGTTAGTTTTTTAAACTCCTACATTTTTTGGGTTGCATTCAAAACTACTATTTCTATCAAAAACCCAAGGCATATTTATTTCTATTTTATATGTAAAAAAGTAAAACTTATAAAAGAGGGAAAAAAATCCTTTGTTTATCTTACAAAGGTACGCTAAAATAGTATAGTCAGATTATAAACAGACTATGAAACCTTGGTTAATTGAAAAGAAAAATTTTACATTATGTTTCAAACCAAGTGATCAGTATCAGAGGCGGCTTAAACCTTTTCATCCTCCGTTCAACTTATTTAAAGGGAATATAAAGGAAGTATTGCAAGGTAGTCCAGTTCTGTTCAACTCTGGTCAGAGACCGAACAGACTTCAGGGAGAGATGACTAGGCATATCCACATTGAAGATAAAGGCGACAAGGTAAAGATGAATCAAGAAATCTTGTGTTTAAATGGAATAAGTTGAAAAACCTGTAATGCGAGTAGCTCTTTGAAAGGAGACTGTGTTTTCCAGAACATGTCAAGGCGATTCAAGGTGAGAAACGAAGAGATTTTCCTGCAGATCACAGAAAGGCTGAATGGAGCACAGATTCTCACTTTGAGCATGTTCCTTGTGATTCTACTGCCATCTGCAGAAATGCAGTGTACGTGCTGCTCTATGTGGTAATGGTGGAGAAAGGACTTGTCGTTCAAAGAAAACTGATTATCTGCCAGCATCGGTGGCCAATCGAACTCGTTTGCACATTCACTGCAGGCTCTGGGATGGGGAACCAGCCAATGCCCAGCAGCTAGCAAGGGGAAGGGAGAGAGCAGCTAGTACACAAGAATGATTGCTAGTGCTAAGACCTTCCTGCTGGCTCTGATTAGACATTAGCTGTGTATTTCTGCAGATGGCTATAGGACTATGGGGAAAAGGGAGATGACCTAGACTTTCTTTCACTACATAGTGACAGTTTCAACAAATATGTAAAAAAAAGTGGTAGAAAAGGAACAAAACAAACTATTTAAGATGGTCTCTGAAAAGGTCAAGATGGATCATTTTCTGATTGCAATATCTGTTTTATTTTGAACTTCAAATAAGAAAACCTATTATGATTTCAGGGATGACAGAAAACAGAAAAAAGCAAGACTGTCATTTACTAAGATGAGAGTGGTCAATCAGCCCTGTTATTAAAAATGAACAAGTGAGACAAAACTGGAGAGTTCGCTTTGAGAACTTTGACATAAGCTTTATGTTTACGGAAGGAAAAATAAAGTTTTCAATTAAAAATCCACAAAAATCCCACTCACCCCACAAATACTGTGGGGTGAGTGGGATTGGTTTTGTTCTGGGGCTGCTTCGCTGCATCTGACACAGAAAACCTTGAAATTACACAGAGCACAATGAAGTTTCAAAACCACCAGGGCATCCTGGAGAGAAACACACTACTCACTGTCAGAGAGCTCAGCCTGTGCTGCAGGTCAAGGGTAGAGGAGGAAAATAAACTGAAACCACTTAAGAATGGCTGAGAATTAAACCTCTCTGTGAGTCCAGATCTCAATAACATTGGACATCTGTGAAAAGACCTGAAAATTACAGTGTGGAGATGCCGCCCTTAAAATGCCAGGCAGTTTGCTCAGAAATAGAGGCTCAACAAACCTGTTGTCAAGTTTTGTCATCACACAGAGAAGTACAGAAATTACTTGCTAGCAGTTATTGTTCCCAAAAGGTTAGGTCACAAAATACATAATTATTTTGTTTTCAATTAATTATGTGAAGATTTAACTAACTCAATGATCAAAACCAAAGGCTGAATAATAGTTTTCACTTGGACATTTTTGAGCATTTAACAAGGCTATTATTCTGCCAGACATGGCCTCCTTTGCAAAGTGAATTAAATCTGTGGACATCAATTTTTGACTGCAAACAAAGGAAATGGACAAGCCATTTTGGCTTTGTCTCAGCTGCATTTCTTATCAGACACGTTTCAGGAGAAATGTGATCTTTGTGACCGATTTGACATGTTTTGATCGTCTGAGAAAGCATTCACTGTCTTGTTAAATAAGAGAATTAAAAGCTCTGAAATTTCACAGTGGGTTGATGTCAATAGCATCTTAACCTGCTTTTGTAACACATACCATAACTCAATCAAGACATGAAGACAAATGTTAGCACTGTTACTGGAAACTGTCTGCAAAATGAAACTAATTCATTACTTCTCTCTTGAGCACATCATGATGTCACAGTATGACTGGATTCAAAATATCTAGGATTTATTTTTTTTCTTCTAAAGCATACATATGCGATGCTGTACTTCAGGGTATTCAAAATTCAAAAAAGGCCTTTTCTTCTCATGATTTTTAAAGTGAACAACATCCCAATCTGTTAGTGTCTGCTCCAATTCCTCCTTTGAGTCACCATCCCGTGTTTAATCGTTGTTTTGAACCAACAGTTAATCACTGACATTAACAGCATCCACATCACCAACCATGCAGTCATTCCAAGTCTCTCTCAGCCGTCCGTCAGATCAGACATGGAGTGAATTTATGGACATAAAGAAGGGGAAAAAAGTGATGCCAGTCCAATTTTTCTACCCTTAACACTCCAAGTCCCACCTGTCCATTTTACTCTATTAAGTGGTTGTGCAAACACAGCTCACTGAATCACCCTGCACTGCCCGCATCTTGACCCTAGATGGCAGCCTTCAAATGCACATTATACTCATCCAGTTCCCAGCAACAGAATTCAACAGAAATAAAAAGCATGAACAAAACTGAAACCCTAATGAACTAGAAGCTGTTCTTGATCAAAATGAACCGGAGGATTCTGCCTGTTTTTTTTTATTTTTTTTATTTCAAAGGTATGAAAATATTTAACACAGTAAGTCGGGTCAACGTCATCTCCTCATAAACTGAAAAGCTTAGTATAAATCATCAACAAAAGAGGGCATCTGTTTAACACATGCAGACTACACAGATGGTTTCTCATTTCTTCTCTCCTCTTGCTTTTCATGGCTGCACCAATTATCACAATGTTAAAAGCTTCTCGTGTCTTGGCACAGAGCAAGACTTGACAAGACGAGATTTGATTTTCACACATTTATGTCTCCGACTGGGTACTGTAAAGTGAAAGATGAAGAAATTGATTAACAGTAATTTTACTGCAGAGCTTTTGGACAGAGCTTGAATAACATAAAAAACCTAAACTTTACAAAAAAGTGATTTGTTATCACAACCAAAATGGATTGAGCAGGTCTTAGAAATTGTTCATGATAAAACCAGCTAGGACAGAAATGGACTGTTTCCAAAACAAGCTACAGATGATGTTTAGACGTATTTAACCACACATGAAGTTGTCCCGGTGATGTGAAAAAAATTTCAAATCTCAGTACACTGAAAGCACAGCAGCAAAATTTGCCTCGCAAGAAAATCCCAATGTGAACTAGAACTGGTCCGCCAGACAAAACAAATGCAAAGCTCAATCTACAAAACCTACAATGGTCTGCTGGAGCGTTGGCCCAAGCAGATTCACAAAGCGGTGATATTATTTGTGACTCTGTGTAATATCAGTCACATCAATAGAATACGAGATGCTCAAATTATGGCATGGATCACTGTGCATCAGAGTAAATCAGAGTGGAGCAGAATTTCTTTCTGTACTTTTTCTTGATTGACTTGCATGTATGGTTTGATTCATGGAAATTTAGAAGTCAAAAAATGCCACAGTTGAAATGTAAGTCAGAAGGTTTTAAATAGAGAATGATGGATAAGATTTTATTTTTAAAAAAAAATAAAAAAAAAACCAGGGGCACGGTGTCATTGCTGACAATTCTTGATATTTATTCATTATTTCTGGTGAGAGTTTGTTTTGTTTTTTGCTTTTTCAACAAAAGCAAAGTCTTTTATTGACTTTGCTTTTGCTGAGTGGTATATCCATGACAAATTCAATAAATCAACATTTCCATGTGGATAGGGCAAAACATGACAAGGCCGTTCTGGCTGTATCTGGAGCATCTCCACTAGCTGACCCTGGGCCGAGTCGGTAGGAGTAGCGTGGGAGAAGTTCTCTGACATGAAAAGGTTTTTGCCTTTTGTCAGGTTCAGCGTCTATCTCAGTAATGATGACAGTGCGGTGCTTTTTCACTGTGTATAAAGATTGTAAACTAAATGAAAGACAAGGACAGAGAAAGATTAAAAAAAAGCAGACATGAGGATGGATACCTTTTTTCTTGCTACAATGAATGGAAGAAAAGAAGCAGAGCTTGGTTATGTCTGAGAGCTGAGAA